TCATTACATAATTTTATTTTAATGATACATCTTTTATCTTTGTCATAAGAAATACTAACAAGTCGAAAAATAGAGCCGACCATAAATAATATATTCTTATTATCATCTTGATCATAATCTAAGTTGATATTTGCAAAACGTATTGAAATATCTTCTCCAGGATCAGCATCAATATCGAATAATACTTTTTGCATGTTATTTGAAGGAGTCGTTTCTTCTAAATCATTGATGACTGTTTCTCTATCAGTACTTGTTAATAAAAATGAATTGACAGAAATTAATTTTCCAGTGAACTTTTTTAAGTAATTCAATTGTTTTTTTGACATTAATTGACCTTTATATAATCGAACTGGTGATTGATATTGATTGTATCTTAATTGATGATAAATATCTCGAATAAAAGAACGAAATAGATAGAGTATATCAATGTTTTCTAATTGAAAAGCTTTGTTTAATATTTTCTGTAAAAATGGTCTATGAATGTACCATTGTACTGCTGCATTAGATGAATAATTTTGTTGAAATTCTCGAAGAAGAGCTAGATGATTTCTATTACCCTTGTATTCTTTCTTACAAAGATAAAAAAGTTCATTTATATCTTCTCCATTAGATCGTATTCGAAGTAAAATATCGATAAGAGTTTGAAAATAAATGCAAGATTCATCAAGTTTTTTTGTCGGTAGATTTATTTCATCGTCAACATTCAATGGTTTAATTGATAACGGTTCTTCTATTTTCATTCGTATCTTCTGATCGACTTCAATTCGAGTAAGAATTTCGTCAAATTGATTAGTTATGGCTCTAATCTGCAATAATTATACAATTACAAGAAAATTTCATTAGAAATCTATAACCTTAGGAAACTGTTTACTCCATTGCTTGTTTTTGTTTTCATTAGAACAATAAATATAAATAGAAGATATTTGACAAAGATTATGAATAGTTGGTATTAGTTCACGACTAAATTGATCATTAACGATTAAAACAGAACGATCTTCTTTTGACATTGTTTGAATGTATTGTTGACATTCATCAATATGTTCGAATATTTTCAAATAATTAATAATTGCACGTAATTTATGTTCATTATTTTGATTTTTTTCATTTTTGTTAACTTCATTCCTAATCCACAGAAGACTAAATATTTCAAGATGATCATCATGTAATGTAGATTTCTCGTGAAGTTGTTCAGTTTTTTCCATTATTGTTAGAATTTCAAATTGTTAACTCTTTTTTTAGTTTCTATTTTGTTGTTTAATGCAAAATTCACTATGCTTTTAATCTTCACTTGCATTATTGTTGATCTTGCTCTAACTGTTTCATGTCATTTGTCGATGATGAAAAAAGTAGTAGAGAGAGCGTTTGTGTGTGTGTATGTCAACAACAAGCAAAATCGAACTTGTTTACAGCATAATTTCGTTTTTTTTCTGCAGCTCCACTTAGTTGTAAAGTAATGCTTTTTATGAAACAAGAATTCAAAAGTGTCCAGACTTTTGAGATGCATTCATCATTCCTATTATGTATTTCTTTGTGCACTTTGAATTCCATAAATCGAAAAAAACATCGTAGAGATACACTGTTTTCAAGATAAATGACTAGTATTGAAACAATATTAACAATTTTATCGTCCAATTATATAAGAAAACGTATCGAAACTTTTCTTTTGATAGAGTCGATATTTTCTCTACTTTTAGATAAAAAATGGTAAAATGTTCTTCTTTCGTAATTACGTATGATGAAAAGAATATGTTTTAGATCTGATTATCAAACAATGTTATCATAAGTTTTGACAATTATTCTGCTTGATAGTTTCTTTGTTTAATGAATAGTTGACTAATTTTAATGATAGTATAGTACATAGATCTCTATTTTGTAAATCATTGATACTAACTTATGTTGGCATTTCCAATAACAATCGAACTAGCATAGATTTTTATGTGGGGATTATCTTCATGTACAAGTAGCATTTCGATCATCGAATAAATCCGACCATATATATTAATATCAATATGTTTCTAAGTCATTTTTAGTTACTGGGTGTTCTGGCAAATTCTTCTGAGATAGGAGATGTGATAAGAACAAGCTTTGCAAAACATATTATCTGGAAGCAACAATCATGCATTTGAAAATAGATGAGCTATGTAAATCTTTTTGTAAGGTCTATTAGTTCCAGTAATATGTTGTTTTGAGCTGTGTAAAAATGAATAAGTTATTTCAGAATACTTTTGTTAAACTTTTCCAATGTCTTTTTGATAGAGTACAATGTGACCATAGATTTAATTATTCCAAAAATCAAATGGGAAATCTTATGGAAACTATATTGAGATGAATAATTAAGTATTGAATAATTGGATTGATCGATTAAACAAAGATATATTTGTTTTATGCGATCGATAAGAAATAAAACCATATGTTAACATTCTCTATGATATCAGCACAAATAAGTACTGTGGAACTATTGATGATATGTTGATAATTTATATCAAGTCCTTATTAAATAAAGACAAATATCAAATCGTTTTCATCGATTTATATGGCGTGGAGAATCTGTGACATTTCCATTTTCTTCTATTTGTAACACACTAACCGAGTTGATATTCTATTTATAAACTTGACATTATTTTGTTACTGTTATTATTCATTATTCACATAAACATCGATAATTAAGATTTGAAAATATAGTTAAAAAGACCAACATATCCTGTTAAGACTTAATTGAAAAGTTTTGAATAGCAACAAATATTGGACGAGTTTTATAGTAAATCTCGTCAATAATGATAGTTAAGTTATAAAGCGTCACTTGTTTGAAAAATTTCATAAAAAGTGAGATGAAAAAGAATCTACGATCGTTATTATTCAGTCTGCCAAAAAAGTTTCTTCTTCGAGGTTACTTATCGGTTCAATATAGTATAATTATTATTCCTAAGAAAGATATACTATTGTATATAAGACAATAAAAGAAAAAAATATAGGAAAGATAGTATAGAAAGAGACGATATTGTATGAAAAACTTCATATATTAATGATAATTTATCTTCTGTTTCCATTCTATCAATTGCCAAAAAAAACCAATGACAAATCGTCCATATTTACTTTTCTTGGCCTCTACATTTACTTTTAATAAATTCTTGTCACAGATCTAAGTGTTTGATTGATGAATGTATGTTATTCAATAAGATATGTTTGACTATTTACCTAGACATCGTTTCTTTAATAGAAGTCGAATTTCATATATTTGAACAACTTCAGATTTCTTTCATAATCTTGTTCATTTCACTAAAACGGTCAATATATCTATACACAATTGCCTAATATAATAGTCAAAACAAACAACATAGCATGATCATAATGGACATATGCAAGACAATTAGATTTTAATTTCGAACTGTTATACATATATAACTTTTCTGTTTCTAATAGATATTAATAGTTTTATTTTGTTGTCAACTTAAACAAATACATTTTGATTCTGTCTATAGTTTAGTTTTATTGAATTGAAATTTTCTAAAAATATTTTTCTTATCTGTCCAATGTCTTTGAATTAGTCATGATTATAAAAATCTATAAAATGTATTGATTCAAGCCCAATTAAGATCTAGATCGTTATGAATATTAAATAACTGATATCGATTGACTAGTTCAAAGTTCTTTGGTCGACCTTGTGGATAAAGCCATTTTTCTAAATCGTTCAATCTTCCAAGATATTCAATAGCATGAGCAGCCGATTTAACAACTTTTTCGTATGCAAATGGATTGATATTTCTAATTCTATCACATTGTTGATGATAACATGGATCATAAGCAGCGTTGGCTATTCCACCATTTCCTGTTCCTAATACTGTTGCATATTGATCTCGTTCATTAGCCGATTTAATTCCTCCAGCTCCTGTATTAACTCCACCGACTGCTATACCTGCAGCGAGAAATGGAACATAATCACTTCCGCCTCCAAGTGAAGAATTACTCCAAGGAAGTTTTTGTTTATTAAACCATTGACGAAAAAGATCCGTAATTCTACGAGTACCATTTAGAGCTGTTTCTGGTGTTGTCAATGGAACTGTTGAACTATCATGAATACCAAAACGATAGTTAGGACCAGCTAACATATCATAATTTAAATTGACTAGGTAATCTTGTAAACGTTCACCGACAATGTTAGTACTTGGTAAGAGAGCCTGTTCAACATGATATCTAGCACCAATAAGACCGAGTTCTTCAGCACCCCACCAACAAAATCGAATACGATATTGATATGTGGAATATTGCAAAGAAGATGTTTGAAATAAACGAGCTATATTAAGAGCTAAAACCAAAATACCAACAGTACCACTACCTAAATAAAAATAAAACGAATGCTGAGTCTATTGATTGATCAATACTTTCTAACCATTATCATTGATCCCACTTCCTGCTGGTACTCCATCACTATGAGCGCCAACGACAACTGTTTTAGTTTTATCTCCTGTTTGTGTATCAGCACAAATATTTCCAATACCATTTGCGTCACTAACATTAATACCCACAATTACACTGGCATTGTCCACTCCATTGACCAACTGCATTCCAAGATTATACGATAAGAAATAGGCCGGAATAGTGGTATTCAAATTATTTCTCACTCCCTGCATTGGATTAAAACCATCTGGTGATGTTCCATCATTGTAAATGAGTAATCCTTTCACTTGATACTTTTCAGCT